TTTTCTCAGTATTGCCATAGCTATTCTGTCTCTTGTGGTTTTATATACATTTTTAGATTTGTTTTAGTTCTGTGAAAAATGGTATCTTGATAGGGAGTGCATTGAATCCATAGATAGATTGCTTTGGGTGCTATAGACATTTTAGTGATGTCAATTGTTCCCATCCATGAACATGGTATATGCTTTCATTTATTTGTACCTTCTTCAAGTTCTTTCTTCCATGTCTTATAACTTTTTGAGTACATTCACTGTTTAGTAGCATGGTGCTGAGCCTCCATATGTTTGTGTGCTTTCCAGTTTTTTCTTGTCATTGACTTCTAGTTTCATACCATCATGGTCAGAGAAGATGCTTGATGTGGTTCAGTCTTTTCCAATCTATTGAGACTTGTTCTATATCCTAAATATTCTGGAAAATATTTTGTGTGCACTTGAAAAGAATATATATTTTGCCCCTTTAGTGTGAAATGCTCTAAAAATATCAATTAAATCCATCTGGTCTAATGTGTCATTTAATGACGTGGTTTTCTTGTGGCCTTTCTGTCTGGAAGATCTATCCATGGATGTCAATGGGGTGATAAAATCCGCTACTATGACTGTAGTGCTGTTGATCTCCCCCTTTATGTCCATCAAGATTTGCTTTATATATTTATGTTCTCCTATGTTGGATGCAGGAGTTTCCAGGAGTTATATCCTCTTGTTGGGCTGATCCCTTTATCATTCTGTAACGTCCTTTGTCTCTTATTAGATCCTTAGTTTTAAAGTCTATTTTGTCTGATATAAGTATTGCTACTCTGCTTTTTTGTTTGTTTCTATGCACATGAAATATCTTTTCCATTTTTTTACTTTCAGTCTATTTGTGCCTTTTGATCTGAAGAGGGTCACTTGTAGACAGCATATGTGTGGGTCTTACTTTCTTAGCCATTCAGCTATTCTATGTATTTTGATTGGAGCATTTAATCTATTTACATTTAAAGTAATTATTAATGGATATGTTGTTATTGACATTTATTATTTATATTTATGGTTTTCCCCCTTATTTTAAAGAAGTTCCTTTAACATTTCTTGTAATACTGGTTTGGCAAGTAATGAAGTTTTTTAGATTTTTCTTGTCTGGGAAATTCTTTATCTCTCCTTGAGTTTTAAATGATAGCCTGACCTGGTAAAGTAATCTTGGTTGTAGTTCCTTACTTTTCATTACTTTGAGTACTTTGTGCCAATCCCTTCTGGCATGCAAAGTTTCTGTTGAGAAATCAGCTGACAGCCTTATGGAAGTCCCCTTGTAGGTATATAACTGCCTTTCTCTTGCTGCTTTCAAGATTCTCGATTTTTCTTTAAGCTTTGCCATTTATTTATGAAGTGTCTTTCTGTGGAGCTCTTTGGGTTCATTTTGTTTGGGCTCTCTGGGCTTCTTGGACTTGTGTCTACTTTCTTCACCCGGTTAGGGACGTTTTCAGTCATTATTTCTTCAAATGAGTTCTCAATCCCTTGTTCTCCCTTCTCCTTCTGGTTACTCTTATGATGGAATTGTTGTTATACTTGATGCTGTCCCAGAGGTCCCTTAAACCATCCTTATTATTATTTTATTTTTACTGTTCTGAATGGGTATTTTTTGTTACCTTGCCTTCCAAATTGCTGATTTGATTCTCTGCTTTATCTAATCTGCTGTTGATTTCTTCTAGTGTATTCTTCATTTCTGGCTGGGTTTTTAAAAGAATGATTTTTGTATCTTTTTTATGCTTACTATCTCTTTGTTGAAGTTCTCACTAAGTTCCTCAAGCATCCTTATAACTGTTATTTTTTGAACTGAGTATCTGGTAGTTTGCTTGCCTTCATTTTGTTTAGGTTTTTTTCTTCTGGGTTTTTCTCCTTTTCTTCCATTTGGGACATGTTTCTTTGTCTCCTCATTTTTGGCTGCCTGTCTGTATTTGTTACTATGTATTTGGTAGAGGTGCTACATTTCTAAGTTTTTGCAAGACAGCCTCAAGTAGTAGGTGACCTGTAGGTGCTAGTGGCACAGTCTCCCTGGCCACCTGAGCTGGATTTTCCTGGGGTATCCCTTGTGTGGGTTGTGTGTGACCTCCTGGCATAGTATATCCTTGATTGTTGTTGGCATGTCAGTGACTGGGATGGACCTTCAGGTGACTGGTTGTGAGGGTTGGGCATCACCACAGTGCACGAGATGCTGTGCAGGAGCTTGCTCCGCGAAGGGGGCTAGATCCCAGCAGGCTCTGGTGCCTGCTGAGAACTCCCTTTGGCTCTGCCACTTGTGGAGTTAATTAGGTGGTTGGTGCTCTGTGGTGGTCTGAAGCCAACCACTGGGTGTACTGATTCTGGAGCCTCTTAGGAGGGGCTCCAGTGCAAGCCATGTTCAGCTGCTGCTTGTGACTGGCCTAGAGCTACCTGGTAAAGCTACAAAGTGATCCATGATTGGTAGGTGCCTGCGTTGGACCTGGAAGTACCAGGGAGAATCCGTGCTGCAAACTGAGCTTTGTTGCCACCAGTCCCCAGCCTGGGGCAGGGCAGCAAAAAGCATGAGGCACCTTGAGGTCTGCTGCCACCTGTCATCTACCTGTAAGTCTCAGCTGTTGAAAGAGCCTTGGACAGTACACGAGTTTGGTGAAGTGGGGGTCTCAGGAATTACCAGTCTAATGAGGATTCAGATTAGGCACCAGTTCTGAGTGTGCGGCAACTAAGCAAAATGCACAGGGCACACCAAGGCCAGGTGCCACCCACCTGGGGGCTGTGGATCTATGAGATTTTTCTTTTGAATGATTGCAGCGTGGGCCAAGGCTGGCTGCCTGCTGCTGGAACATTGCATGATTTAGGTGAATTGGGGTCTCAGGGGGTCATGAGGGTGGAGTGAGTGTTCAGCAGGCTAATGCAGAAACAAATTTGGTTGTATGGTAGAAGGACTCAACACAGGAAAGATGGAGCCCACCTGCCAACAGTGTAGGAAGACAGCTTAACACAGGGACAATGGTGGCTGTCCCTCCAGCCTTTGCCCTGTAACCACACAAGTCAATTTCTCTCTGTATATTTCTGATGCCTCCCAAGCCAGTATTCCTCTGCTAGAGCCCTTGGTGAGTGCCCATGAGCAAGCAAGTCTGTGTATGGACCCTTTAAGAGGATGCCTGGGTTGACCTAGCTAGGTAGATCAGTTGATTAGAGCGTCGTCCTGATGCTCCAAGGTTGCAGGTTTGATCTCTGGTCAGGGCACACACCAGAATCAACCAATAAATGCATAAATAAGTGGAACAATAAATTGATCTCTCTCTTTCCTTTCCTCTCTCTAAAAGTCAATAAATAAGGGGATGCCTGGGCTTACAGCAGCCTTTCATCTCACCCAGATGGACAGAATCCCTGCTGATTTTCACAGCCAAATGCTGCGGGATCTCCCCTTGCTGGCACCGGTGCACCTGGATGGGGAGCCCGGTTTGGGCCGGGCCACCTTTCTCTTCCGCAGGGACCTCTGCAGCTGAGATGTCTCTCCTGATTCTCCACTGCTGCACATGGGTGTGGGGCCAGCCCATTTGGCTGTGTCTCCACCCATCCTAGCAGTCTTCTTAGTTATAGGACTTCTGTTCCACTTGTCATCAAATGGTTCACCAGGTTGAATGTTCTATAATTGAATTGTAATTTTGATGTGATCCTGGGAGGAGGTGAGCGCAGCAGTTAGCTACCCTGCCGTCTTGACTGGAAATCTCAACATCTTGGTTCTTTTTTCTAAATATTTTGTTTCTTTATTTTTAGAGAGAGGGGAAGTGGGGGAGAGAAATGTTGATGTTTGAGAGAAACATCAAACAGTTTCCTCTCACACACCCCCAACCTGGAACCTGGCCACAATCGAGGCATGTGCGCTGGCCAGGAATCGAACCAGCGAGCTTTCGGTTGGCAGACTGGCACTCAACCCACTGAGCCATACCAGTCAGGGCAATAGCTTGTTCTAATTACAGAATTACTTAGACATGATCATTGTTGAAAATTAGAAAATACAGAAAAAGATATATTAAAACATTTAAAAATTATTCATGACCCTGACACTGTAATCAGGCGGTGTGTAGTCATCAAGTCCCCAAACTGAAACCTGATGGCTTAGAGCCTGAGTTTCACACACACAAAATCAATATTTTCCATGGTATTAAACATACTCCTATATGGTAATTGTAACGGTCATCAAATATTTTTTTCTCCAAAATATACTATAATTATCTACCCAGTCATGGTGGACATTTTAGTGTAACTTTATTCCAACTTTGTGATGACTGTTTTTGCAGATCAGACTTTGTCTTTGGTGACTTTCTTAGGCTAAGTCAGTAGAAGCGGAATTTGCATGTCAGAGCATATGCACTTTAAAACACTGAATGGGCCCTGGCTGGTGTAGCTCAGTGGATTGAGTGTGGGCCTGCGAACCAAATGATCAAGCGCAGTTCAATTCCTAGTCAGGCAGGGCACATGCCTGGGTTGCAGGTCATTTCCCAGCAGGGGACGCATGAGAGGCAACCATACATTGATATTTCTCTCCCTCTCTCCTTCCCTTCCCCTCTAAAGATAAATAAATAAGATAATTTTAAATAAATAAATAAATAAATAAAATATTGAATGGGAATTCTCAGGTCACACTTTGAAAAGGTCATACCAGTTATGCTTTGACACTGGAGTATGAGTGTTTGTTTTCCTGCTTGCTACAAATGTTGCCTTTTTCTTTTAACTTGTCAATTTTATTGGTGCAACATTGATATTTTAATTTTCATTTTTTTTCCTCTTTATTGAAATTGGATTGTTAAACGTGTTTGTGATCTTTTTATTTAATACCAAACTCTGTGATTGTGACAAAGTGCATTGAGCATTTCAAGAGTGAAGATGTGTTTGTAGCTTGTAGATTGAAGGTAGTTTTTGCCAAACTGTCCCTGCTGAAAAGGAATGACGTGGATGCTTTTGCGTGGCAAAGTGGAGGGAAGGTGTTATTTCTTGGATTTAATGACCATTTCTCTCCCATGTAGGTTCTTAAAGGTGGACAGGAAGCACCCACAAAACCCAAAGGTCGCCCCAAGAAGAACTCCATTCCCACCTCAGAAGAGATTGAAGCTGAAGAGAAGATGAACAGCCAGGCCCAGAGCCAGGAGAGCCTCACGGCCTTGCAGGGAGGGGAGGAGCTCTGTGACACGCAGGAACCGAAATCTCATGATGTCCCCTTGGAGGTGGCAGAGCCCCCAGGCCCGCCACAGGAGTTGCCAGCAGCCTCTTCCGAACCCCCACCATCAAGCTAAAATAGAATCCTTTGAAGGGAGAGGGAGACTGGGAGGCAGGAGAAGAGAGAAGGCAGGAGAATAGGGAGAGAAAAACCTCTTAGGAAACCTGGTAAACTGAGGGAGAATGGGTTCGCCTGTCTCCTTCCCTCCCACAGGTCTTGGTCGTGTGGTCACTGGTCATTGCAAGCATTTGAGGACGACTTCCTTGCCTTAGGCCCTTCTCTTCCTGAAAGGATGCTTTTGCCACAGGGTGCCCTGCATAAAGGGAGACAGTGCCTTGGAACTGCCTGTCCCAGCTGGGGTGACGGCTGTGGGGGCTGGGCAGGAGCCCCACCTGTCATACTGGAGGATGGCCCTGGCTCTCTCCCCGCCAGCCTCTGGGCAGCCAGTCATCCAAGCAGAAACATAGGGAGGACTTGGGCAGCCTGCCCAGGTTCCTTGCTGACTCAGCACTTATTTTGGTAGTTTTAAAAGAGAATTTAATGTTTTGGTTGTTGTTGGGGGGGGGTGGGTTGGTGAGGGCAGTCTGAACAAGTTGGGGGAAGGGAGTTCTGAGTTACTGCAATTGTTTCTGAATAAAGTTTGTTTGTTTGAAAATATGTGTGCCTTGGAACCCATTCTAAGATGGGCAGGTGACTTAAGAACCGATAAGCCTTGTTTTTCTTGCTTCATTAAGTTGCCATCCTTGAAGTTGCAATGCAGATATGTTAAGATAACTTTTATTTTTTAATTAAAAATAAATCTTTCGAAACGGTTGGGTTTATTGTTTCTTCTGGGGAGTGAGTTTAACTCGTACTGAATGTGTTTCTGGAAACAGAGACCCAGACACGGAGCACAGCTCCCTGGGCTTTAGTTTCCAGCCAGGAAAGAAAAGGTTGGGCCTGACCCGCGCGCATCTCAATGCAGAGAGCAATGGAAGACACACCGAGCGGCCTTTGGGTGAGGAAGGAGCAGCGAGGCGAGGCTCTGTCAACCGCCCCTCCCGCCATCCACCAGAGCGGCTCTGCTCTCAGGTACTGTACGTTCTGGGCTCACAGCTTCAAAAATGATTTTACTCTTTTGGAAGAGATAATCAATTTCTTTGCTTCAAAAATTAAACTCCATAAAAAGAAGTCTTGCTTTCCCTCCCGCCCCCTCTACCCTATGCCCTCTGGTGCCTGCAGGCAACCGTCTGTACTGGTTTCTTGTTTACCTTTCTGTACTGAGCATACACCTGGATGACGGGCTCTGCAACTTCTAACGAAAGGTTTGAGGATTACTTGGCTAGAGGTGCTCTGTGAGGTGCTCAGGCGTTTGAAATTCAGAATGCTGTCCCACTTCTCAGAAGACCCAGGAGGAGGCGGGCTCTAGATGGCCTGCAGTGAGAAGGCTGACTCTGCATCTGCTCGTCATGCAACCTGTCGTGGTCATCGTCCCTGGCACACTCACTTGTGGTGTCCTTCAGGGCGGAGCGCCCACCCTGCGGACTGCCCGTTAAGGCAATAATTACACGGTCACTCTGCCGGTGGGGGCTCAGGAAGTATAAACTGACTTGAATAATGGCCTTAGCCAAGAAGCAGAACTTGTCGCTAGTTCTGTAAAGCAAAGCATCTACTTCTTTCAAAGTGAACTAGGTCTGATCTGCTTGTTTTCAATACCCTGGCCACCGGTTGCCTCCGTCAGTGGGACAATAGGACAGTGAGTGCTGGGTCCACCTTGCTAAGGCAGTGCCTTCATTGCTTTTGCAGTTGAGATCGACAAAGAGAAAGCAGGTTTTTTCCTTGACTCTCATGAATAGACAAAGGAGGGAAGGATCTGGCCTTTGAGAACCAGTTTGTGCAGACCACACCCAGCCCTCTGTGTGAGGTTCCTTGTGTGGTGCGTGCAGAATGCTGTCGTCTTCACCTCTAGCCCACTCCATGTACGGTTTCATGATCTGCCTACCAGGTGCTGTCACGATGGGCCGAAGAGAGTGCACAATGGCCGGAGTCAGCAGGTGGGGTGGTGCCCAGTGAGTCTCACTCCTGAGGAACTGTTCTGTCCTACTAGCCCCCTCCTCTGGGCCCCCAGAGGCCTTTCTGTTGGATTCTGTTTTTCTGTGGTGGTTTTCCGTCTCTTGTCCTGGACTCATCTGAGTTCCTCCGCAGTGACTGGCATGGCACAGACATGCGCATGCGCACACAGTGTTCCGGAGCCTGGGTTACGGGCTCTGTGTCTGACTTCCAGCCCTGAGTCCTGCGCCTGTCATCTTTGGTATTGTTTACTCTCCCGAGGGTTTAAAAGGATTTCAGTGGAGGCTTTAAGACCTCAAATTAGCTTCTGTTTTGGAAGCCCTGAGCCCAAGGCCAAGTGCATTTATAAGCCTTGGGCCTGTCCTCCTGCCTCAGCTCCGTATGGCTTTGCCCTATGACTCAGGATGGGTCAGGACTGGCCTTTCGGATGCCAGTGGGCACGGATTCAGTGCCAGGCCCTGCTCCCTCCACCCCAGTGTTTCCCTTTTGCCTGCAGTTCCCGAGACTCAAGACAAGCATCCAGAAACCAACCCCACGGGTATTCTGTGAATCGTGGTGAATAGGTCGTTCTGTGCAGAGTCTCAAACAGGGTTGTCCGGTGACCTTCGGCGCTCAGGAGTCCCCTCTGCGGAGCGCTTTCCTCACTTTCTCAGCCTCGTTCTCAGTTCCCCAGAGTCATCTCTACCTTTTTGGGCCTTGCCACACAAAATCATTCTCTCCTTTCTCTGACATCCAGAATGGTGACCCCTGAGAGTTCAGGGCCTTATCTGAGGGTCTGGTCAGTTGTTGCTTTTTGAAGTTTTCCAGAGGAAGGGAGCTGGCAAAGGCCAACTGACCCACTCTGTGAGGAGCGGAGTGCACTTTTAACAAGCCCTTTGAGTGGAAGCTGCTGCTCGCCTCGTGAAATGCGCTGTTTCCTCTGGTTTTACAGGAAGCTCATGAGTCCGAGAGAGGCTGTCTTTCCCTGGATCAGAGTTAGAGCCGAGGCCCAGGGCCATGGTCATTTGCAGCCTTCTCTCCTCCCATGCCACCAAGTCTGTGCCTTTTCAGGGGCTGCCGCTGCTGCTGCTGCTGCTGCTGGTGGTGGAAATCCTTTCAGCAGCAGGCTGCTCCCCATAGTTCAAATGTGTCCTAACGCAGGGATGGGGGCCGGGGTGGGAGTGTTGCTTCATGGGCAACACAAGGTGAGGCAGCCAGGAAGAGCGCCTCTGCTCCCGTCTCTCGTGTCCTTAGAAAGTGAAAAACTCCTGGAGCAGGTAGGTGCTGGCCTCCCAGAAAGGGTCCAAGGGAGTTGACCAATGAGCCCATGTTTCCAGTCACTGTGTCCTCTGATTTGCATCTCTACGGTCCACAGAGGTTTGCGAGCTTCCACCTGTTACCAAAATGGTCTCATCCTATAAGCCCTGGGTCCTCAAACTAGTCTGAACAGGTCTATCAGAAACCAACCTTAAAACAGACGGGTTTTAAATTTTTCTCAGAGACTGGTGAGTTCTAGAACAGTCTAGGAGCTTCTCCCTCCTCCTGGGAGTCTCTCAGTCCCATTCCAAGAGGCCGTGCCCCCCACCCCTGCTCTGTGCCCACCTGTCCTTGTTCCTGCCTGCCTCAGCGCCCTTGTCCCTTCTCCCTCCCCCCATAAGCACTTGAGGCTACCTCTTCCTTGCCTTGCCTATTCTCCAGCCCCATCTCACAGATCCCTCTCCTTTGTCCTTGTCACCGTGGTCCTGCCTGCCCCATTTCCAAAGAGGACATTTTGTTTTCCTGTTAGAGAGTAAACTCCTTGAGGCAGCTTCTTCATCCTCATTCCTTTTCCTGTCCCGTGGATTCTAAAGGCCCGTGGACAGATGATTCGAGGCCCCGGACGCTCCTGGTCTCCTGCTGACATCTCCCTGGACATCCGAGGTTTCATGTTCCCTCTGGACATCCAGTGCGGTGGGCACAGCCACTGCCATGCAGCCTTGAGGCCCCAACTTCCCTGGTCATTGATCACTGTTAGAACCACACTTACCGGCTGTGAAGCTGCCAGTTGCCAGCACCTTTCAGAGGCAAGAGGGAAGGCAAAGCTAAATCTCTTTGCTACCTGCAGAAACATTCCCGTCACCCACAGGCAGCGATGCTGGGCCCATTTCCCCAGGGACAAGAGGGTGAGGGCAGTGGGGAGCCCATCCTCGAAGGCCTCCATGAGCAAGGGTCAGTTTGCTCCCATTTCGCTGACTCCCTTTGGGGAAAGCTATCGCCAAGCAGAAGAGACCTTCAGAGTGTTTCCCTGAAGGGGGTGGCAGGTGGCATTGCAGCAGCCAGCCTGGGAGGAAGACAAACGCCCAGGGAGGCATTTGTCTGAGACAAAAGTCAAAACCTGTCCAGGCCCAAGAGCTCCCTGGCAGCTGGCAGTGCACCGGTGGGAAGTTCCACCGGGCTCATCAGGCCATGCGCAGAGGCAGCTGAAGGGAGATGAGCTCGTCCTGGAGAATGGTGGGAAGGTTACAGCTGGAGTCAACTCTAACACCTTGGGAGGGGCAGGAGCCAGAAGCATCCTACCCACCTGCTGTGGAGGGAACTGGGAGAGACAGCAGTGACTGGAGAGCCGGCCCCGAGCTGTCTGGGGTCAGAAGCTTTAGCCCTTAGAAAGGGCCTAGTTAAAGAACAAATATAAATGACCTGTGGCCACAGACAACAAGGTGGGGATTGACTGTGGGAGAGGCGTTGGGTGGGGCACGGGGGAGCAATGGGGGAAAATTGAGACAACTCTAATACAAGAACAATAAAAAGAAAAAAGAAAGCAGCCATAAGCAAGGTTCGCCACAGTTCAGGTGAACAGGTATTTCCACAACACCTGTCTGTGAGGTGCACTGTGCAAGTGCTAAGGGTGGGGGGTGTCGTGATGTGCCCCCACCCTTGATAAGCTTGAATCTTCTTGGAGAAACAAGGTTTTTGCAGTATTTATACCTGCCCTCACCACCGAGGTGGCGTTGTTTCAGGGCAAGGCAGGTGATTCATGGGATACCCGCCCCTCAGCAGGCCCTCAGCAGGCCAGGCCCGCTGAGGGAGGAGGGCAACTGTCTGAGCGCCTGGTGCACCTGGAGGGGTGATCGCCACTGGAACAGCAGGTGTTTGCTGAATTCACCTGAATATGCCTCTAATCCCAAATTGCCACTCAAATCCTGGGTGGAGGATGGCTTGGGGAGGGCAGAAAGATCCCGGTAATACCACTTGAAATGTGGGTGTGGATCCCGGAGGGAAGGCGGTTGGACACCAGCCCGTTTGGGCTTCACTGCGTTCTGCGTCTGCCTCACCAGTGGGCAGTGTGCTGTGGTGGCCTTCCCTGCCTCCCCTCCTGCCACCCGGCCTGCCCATCCTGCTCTGATCTGAGGCGGCCTCTACCTGGCTGCCCTGCTGTCCGCTTCTGGTGAATCTCGGTCAGCAACGGCCAAGAGGGGACGGTGGGACGCTGCTTGCCGAGGGGCTGCAGTAAATCACCCTGACAGGCTCCTTTCACATCTGACCTTTCTTTCCCAAACCGTCTTCCTTTCTGTTTATTTTTGTAGCAGGTTTATTAGACACACAGTTAAGTGCCCATTTAGCTCTGCAAACTGTCATCGCGCCTGCTTTATGAATAAGGCCATTCACTGACAAAAGCCTCTAAACATGCTTTAAAGAGAAGGTGGGGAGGAACAAGGGACTGGAGAGGAGGAGGAAATAGTGCCTGAGGTCGGTGAG